TCACAGTCTATTTTTTCTTCTCTTTTTCCAATGAACTCCATGTGTATGTATTTATGCAGAAACATCCCATTCAAAATGTTTTTAAACTGGTAAAATTAAAAAATACTGATATCATATGACTGCAATCTATAACATATAACAATGTTGAATGAATGAATGCCTTTTCCACCTTACTACCTAGGACTTTTTCTTTGTTATTTTAGAGACTGTCAATGGTTTAATTGTCCTTGATTCTGTAGCTTTTCATTGACTGCAAAGTTGATTATCAAGGGCTTGTTAATTTTCAGACATAAAAATATTATAAAGGTATTCAAGACTTGTAGACATCTAACGGGTGAATATACATGGCTTTGTTTAATGAGGCGAATCTGGATTAGTTCTGTGTGAAACATAAAATTCCTAAAAGCTATGAAGGCTGTCTCCTGTAAGGCTAACCAAAAATATAACTGCTCAGCATTCACTTCAGCAGCCAGATTTGTTACATTTTCTCAGATTGTGCTTTAAGTAGAGAAATGGAATATGCAATGGAAAGGAAGCTGCACACATTAGTTTACCTATATTTAATGATATAAAGTATGTGAGAGGCTGCAGAGTTTTGTTTTGAAAATGAATGGGAAGCAAGGAGCTGGTTTCCTTCAAGAAGTTGTTCTTTGATACTATAATGGGATGGTATGATTACGGCAAAAAGCAGGTCTGAGATTCCTCACCCTAAAATTATTCATGAATCTGTATTCAACTGCTGTTTCAGAGTGTTTCCTCGTTTCCCCCTTGCCTGGGGCAAAGCAGTGCAAAGAGCCGAGCCTGTGTCAAACTGGGCCTTACACAGGCTTGTCCAAGGCCAGGGAAAATCTGTTTTCAGGGCTTGTGTTGACATGAAAACGGTAGTCTTTTTGCTTTTGCATTAGCTAGCCAGAGATACAGGGAAGAGAAAATGTAGAAAGGTTATCAGGTAATCACAGGTGTAATGGATTGTAAGTGGTCTATAATGTTCACAACAAAGCGAGACCTTTCCCTAAGCAATCTACTTCTAAGCTTCTGTTTTGCAAGGTACTATCTCCTTTATATTTAAGAATTTTACTGTTTATGAAGGTTTCTCATGCTAGGCCAAATAGCTTTATAGTGATAATCCCTTCCCTTTGATTTCTCAATGCTTTGAGTAATGAACGCTAACCCTACTGGGCAATTTGAGGTGATTCTCCAGGCAAATATATTAATGCAACAAACCCAAGGGTTAGGCTTGCTTTTGAGGTGGCAATACCAAAGGAACTCCTGAGAACTAAGGGTATTTAGGTATAATAGATGCACTGCTGACAAGTGAAGATCAATAGCTGAGAATGAGATTTAAAGTGAGAGGAAACGTTACTGATACAAACTCTGTCCTTTTTCTTGTTATGATTCTACCCTTATTTTCAAAGCCCCTTTCTTTAGTAAACTTAATCAGTTCTCCCAGCACTGATTTCCAGTGCATTGCAGATTATAGTCACCTGGGCAAACTGTTTCCTGAGGGAGAGATTACCTGGGCCCAAGCGAGGTGCATTAGTGCGATATGCAGGTATTGGGTTCGAATTTGTCAGTCTCTGAAAGAGTGGTGTAGCAAAGGTTAATAATTGAACACTGAGTTGAGGCTGCCACATACAGTTCACCTATGTGTTATTGTATTTTGAGCATACAAGCAAGCAGAAGTCTTTGCTATGCTTTTTAGTTTTAATTATTCTTAAGTCTGAAGATGATGTGAAGTTGAAATCAAGACTGGGCGAAGTCTGAGAAAATGCTTATCCTTCATTTGCATCAACTGGAATGAAGTTAACATGTGTAGGTCTCCAGATACACTAATCTAGTCTTGGGTTGTCTGTGATTCAGAGGTCACAGTGTTGTTGTTTCACTACTGAGTTAAACATCTGCTGTGGAGACAGATGTTCCTGGGAGGAGAAACAAAAGTTTGCCTTTGTTGTTATCTTCAGTGTAGTTCTTCGAAGCCTGCTGAGCCAATGCCTAATTAAACTGCACACATGCTCTGAACAAATGAAAAAGAAATGCTGCTCCTTTCAGATAACATTTGAGGTGAGAATTTCTCCTCAAGTGAAATCTACTTGGGGAAATCAATTCACTGCTGAAGCAGAGACTCTTTCCATAATACTCTGTTATGTGAAGGCATTACTATAGCCCATGTGCAATATAGGAGAGTGCGTGCTGTTTGGAGATCTCGACTGTACCTAGTCACAGCCATGGGACAAGTGCAGTTTCAGACCTGTTTCTTTAATTTGAAGCTGGAGCTATATTCCTTGTCTACAGTAATATTATTCTGATGGTGGTGTCTGATTGTGCTACACATAGAGCAAAAACCTCTTATGAAATGTTTGGAGGCTGTAGACTACTGATTAGTTTTGGAATTGAAAATTCCTTAAGTGTTCCTGCCTGACTCCTCTAATATCATGAGCTGTATTCATTTATTCTGTTTTAGCATTAAGCCTCATGCTTTGTGCCTTGGCTTTCTCATGCCACAGCCTACCAGGAGTCTTGATGTTCCAAGTTCAATTTCATACCTTTAAACATGCATTAAAGGAACTAAAATATGCTTTGAGTCAAAGAAAGGGCAAGGGAAATGAGCTGTATAGTTCCTAATGACCAGTGCTACCCAAGACACTATTTTTAAAAGGTTTCTGGTCCTCTGGTAAGGTTAGTAATCTTTTCTCTCCACACCTGAAGCACGTGTGGGTGGGTGCATGATTCACTGTGTATGATAACAAGCCTAGGTCACAAATAAACTTTGATGTTTCATGAGAATGCTCCACAGTGCTTTTATGATGTAGGGATATACCCTTCTATTGATGCACAGTTCTACTAACATCAGCAGGGCTCCTTGTAGATGGAGAGAACCTCTGCACCCAGCTTCAGTTCCTTTGCAATATCAAAGCCTTAAAAACAGAGCAAGTAGGAAGTAGCTCACCTAGCATAGCCGCTGGGAGAGCAGAAAAAAAAAAGAATTAAAAAAAATAAAGGGACAATTAAATATATGAAATCAAATGTCCATTTGGAATTGCAGTGAGAGGAGGGAATGCTTTTCTCATCTTACATTGTCTGCAAGATTTCAGCTTCTTTCTTGTTGCACAGTGGGCTCAGCTCAAAAGCTGTTTGAGGCTGCTGATGAGAAAAAAAACACCCGAACAAACAAAACAGTCTCATGTTCTTAATAGGTATAGTTGAGGCCACTCATCTGAGACAACAGATAGCCATGTTCATATCTCTACTCCAGGATGAAAATCTCAGTTTCCTGCCTATTTTATGTTAATAGTTTACCATCTTGGAGTAAATAAGAGTCATGGTTTCTCTTTGGACTCAATTAGAAAAATCTTGGCCACAGAAGGATTTTTTCTTGCAAAGATTTGTATTTCATGAAGTCAACTTGAAACAAAAAAGTCCTGAGCAACTTAGTATCCAGTGACATTGATATGGCTTTGAATACAAACAGGAATCAAAATTATTGGAATCAAGCTCTTTCTCCTACTCTTTTTCTTATCAGAAGAGCAAGTCCTTAATTTCTCCAGTGTTCCTTCCACATCACATCTTTTCTCTCCTTTTCCTTACTTTTGAACTCTATCACTTAATTTTATTTTAATTTAAAAGTGTTCTATTTTTTTAAGAGTATTTTTAGAAATCTGTTCATTTCAGGTGCGGAAGGCCATAATGGATACCATTTGTGAATACTTAGGGAAATAATCCTTCTGCCTTTATTCTGACCTGTTTGTTAGTAAACTGATCTCTGGGTAACCTGAAACATTTACTAAGTCAAAACAATTAACTGAAGCATTAATTGCCTTTTGATATGTTTCTCTCAAAGGCAGTCCAGAAGAGTGTCCACTGAACAGGGATGTTTAATAGTGTCAAAATGGGAGGAGAAACTATATGCCAATGGGAGCAATGGAAGACTTGTGCTTAGAGTAATGAACTGCTAATGTAGTGATGTATGACAAAAGAGATGATATGCCATAGCCTAATTTTTTTTTCTTCTAGATTAACTCTTTTGTTCAATATTTCAGTTAAGAAATAGAATGTAGGAGTCACTGTCACTTCCTGAGTCGTGACTTAGATCAGAAACATTTGCTGAAGCCATCTGTTTCGTGGAAGTCAAGTATACAGCATTTCTTAAGTCTGAGGTATGATGCATAGGAAAGCTACAGAAAATGGGTCGGTCTTTCTGAGTTCTGAATACTTGACTTCTCTACACTGCCAGATTGCTGAAAGTTCAGAGAAAACACCAGAATAAATTTGTTACTGGAAAAGACTTAGGAGAAAGAGAAATATGTGGTTCTTCCAAGAGAATAGATGTGTATTATAAACATGATGTATTATTTTTGGTGAAGTTCACTGAATAAAGTTATGTTCTTTTATGAATCAAAGAGCCACTGTGGCTTGATAAGCAAACTTTGTATCATGTACATTCTTTTGCCTTAGCATAGCGATGTGAAACAAACTCATTCCCCTCCATTTTCCCACTTACAGTGTTTTAAATATCTGTTAAAAAAATCTTCCCAATTATCCTCTTCCCAGTTATCCTCTTTATAAAAAAAACACTAGTTTGTCAATGTCAAGTTTCTGTAAGGATAAAAGACATCTATTTTTCTTAGCATCCTCAAGCTATTTCATCTTTTGTTTTCAGATCATCTGATGGCACCTTCTTGTATATAAAACAAAAAGTCAGCAATTTTATCTGAATGCAAGTCTCTGGTATCAATTTGACAGCTACTAGATTGGTGTTATGTTCCTTCCCTAATTTTCTGGCTTATGTAGAATCAGAGAATGATACCAGGTTTATCTTTCAAAGTGTGAAGCTATTTATAGAATGTGGAAGTGCTGTCTGTATGTTTCTTTTCAAGCCTATGCAACTGAAATTGAATTTTCTGCTCTAACTAGTACATCTTAGGACTTTAGCACAGAATAAAGAGAGGAAGTGTAAGAAACGAAGCACAGCTATAAACTGGTATTTGTTTTCTGAACTGCAGGTAATGGAACATTGATTGGAGCATCTGCGAACGTTGTTTGTGCAGGAATTGCTGAACAGCATGGTTATGGTTTCTCTTTCATGGAGTTTTTCAGGTACAATTTTAAACTTCTTGCCTTAAATCTGTCATTTTTTTTTTCCTCTAGGCAAAAAATGGATCCTCCAAGGAGAAAAACTGGAGAAAGAGTCTATAAAATAGACCTGTGTTCCTAATTTGTTTTTGGCAACTGAAATGTGGGTGGAGGGCAGATAACTTTATTCTTTCACGCTGTGGATAGAACACACAAAGGTGATGAGAGCACAGTGGAACCCCAGGACAAACAAATCCTCAGAAGTTCTTGCTTCCATCACCCTCAATCTTATCTTAAGCTCTGTAGGGATACTAAATTTTCGCTCTGATTTTAGATACAGTTTAAACACAGATTCTCATCTGCACATTTTCACGGATGTTCCATTGCCAGGAGAAAGTGTGATATCCCAGTTTACACTCAGTAGAACTTTAATCCATAATCCCCTGAGTAAAATTATTTATCTAAAAGCAATTTCTTCTTTTAACCAGCTGCTTAGCAGCTATGAGTGAAAGTGTGATGAGCAGCTAGCAACAGCTCAAATTGTTGTTTAAGGAATAATTAATAATGAATAATTAATGATTAATAATTAATAATTTTTGGTTAATAATGGATGCTCATCAGCAGGTTCTTAAGGGACAAGGTGTGCTTAATGTACTTAATGGATACAAGAGATTAATATTTTTCCTAACACCTCAATTTTTCTGAGACTCTATTTGAAAGTTGTAAATAGAAACTGGCAAATAGAGGAGTAGACATGAAGTTAAAATGTAAAGTGTAGTTGATTTATCTAAAACATTTTTTTGTTTATTTTTCTGCAAATTTAAGGCAAAGGATAGTGTTAACACCAATATTTTCCCTGTTTTTTATTTACATTGTTTATTTTAGTTTCTCAGCTCTACCAGCTTTCCTTTATATTGTTCACCTCAAAGCCTTCAAACCTGCATAATTAATATGTTTAATCATATAGGAGTGTTTGGAGCAAAGCCAACGATCACCCCCAAAAATAAAGATGGTCTGAACTGTTCTTTCTAAAATTCTTGTTATGAGCATGTGCTGCTCATAGAACAGTTTCTCTCTTCACCCATAGTGTTCTCATGATACATTTTAGAAAGGCAGAGTACCTATCAAATCAAAGCCTTGATTGACAGGACCTTTGAGACTGCAGTACAGTCTTATGCAGTATACAGTGACAGCTAACAGACTTCTTGGAAGTCAAGCTCCTGTAGATAATAAAATGATGATACAGCAATACTGAGCTTGTGGATTGTTCTGTTCATTTTTTTGCAGATATTCAGCTTGTCATTTGGGGATTTAACTTGTATTTAGCAGTAGATTCTGTAATGAGATGTTCTTGAAGCTTCCATGACACTAACTATCTAAGCAGAAACAAGGATGTAAAGCCTGACTAGTCTCTTCAGCAGTGTTCACTGGAATGTATTATTTGGGAAGATTGAAGAAAATGCACAGATGTTCTGAAATGATCTTCTATACTTATGCTTTCAGTGGAAACTATTACCGGGGAAGGCTGTAGCCACTGCAAGCAAAGATGTGAGAACTGAATCCAGAGTAGTCACAGGTAGACAGCTATAGATATTAATTAGCAGAAAGAACGTAAAAGCCCACTTTTGCTGGCATCTTCTTTAATCACTGAGCAGGCAGATCATGAGCTCCTGTAGAATTTTTCTTAGGAAAGTATTTGTTTCAGTTTAATGTGCCCTAATTCAATACTTTTTCTTAGGCTTCTCCTGGCATTAAGAGGTATTATATGTATCCCTTGAGGATTTTGATCTTATTTACTTTTATTTACGAATGTTGTCTCAAAGCATGAAGTGATTTTTATGCATTTCTTCCCTGTTTGACTAGGATCACTCATTAAGTTTCACATCTTTATCCAGGGTCCTCTGTGGTGCTTCTACCAGTATAGACACAGATTGTTGTTACTCTCCCATCTTGCAAACCCCTGTGAATCACCAGTGGAAAATCATGGATACCAAGTGTGGGGAGATGATTGCCCTCGGCTGTCTGGTTTTTGCTAAAATGTCTTCCATCCAAGCTAGGCTGGTATTTTTTTGTCCTTCTCAAGTGTCTCTGTTGAGGAAATCCACGACATATCCGTCCTGGGTAGTATCTGGGACTACAGAGCACAGTATGCTACTTCCCATACCCTTTCTTCCTACCTGCATGCTAAGCCAAAATTACTCAACTATGTTTAAGGGAGGCCTTTGTTAGAAGCAGCTTTTTTGCAAACCATGGTTTGACATGGTGGCCTGGAGAGAAACTCTGGGCAGGGTTGCTAAACATGTCTAGTGAGTACAGCTTGACACGATGGGGGTGGAGAGGCTCTGGAGGTTGTGAGTGCCTAGTGGTGAGAGGCATCATGTAGACTTTCATGTAGGCAGGAAAAGGAAAAGGCAAAAACCAGGCTGGGTGTCCTGTAAGAGGGCTGATGGGCTCGTGACCTTTCCTATGTGTGCCTTTGTGCAGTGGCACTTGGTGTGGTTTGAGGTTCCTTTTTTTAGAGGGGAGCAGTGACAGACTGGTTGGTGTGTTATTCTTGATGCCTAGCCAGTGCAAGAGAAGGCCAGATGTGATAACTTGCCTTGAATGCTGTGATCTGACTATCCTGATGTGCTTCTATCTAGATGGCCTTCAGTAGAAGAAATCCTGTGCCAGGAGAGTGCATGCCTGAATAACCATGAATGTTATAGTTGTCAGAAATCCAACATCCTGGGGAAGGTCTGCCTTCAGAGCCACATCTAATTGCTTCCTTCCCTGGATCAAGAGTTCTACCTCCCTAAGGACCTTGGGGCACTCATCTCCTTCCAGACTACTAGACATGGTTGGATATAAGGAAAAGACAGCCAGCCCTAGTGTCCCATCCTCAACATCCAAGCATCTCAGGCCCATGTGCTGGAAGTACTATGCTTGTAAGGAGGTCCCAATAAG